GTGAGAAAGTGGCTTTGGTGGGCACCTGACATTCAGCCAAGGTCAAACCACCACAATTACCCTTGAAATTGTTGGCAAATTTTTAAATGTCTTCCTTTGAATTGGACACTTGACAGTGAATGACTAATGCCAATTATGCTTCCGTCAGAAGTCATTTAGGTGATACTAGACATTTCAGGATGATTTGTGTAAACAAAGTTTCTGCTTTGCTTGTTATGTTTGGCGTTCTCTGCTAAAGGTGACTATCAACACCATCAGCTAATCGTGCCTGATGCATTTGGTGGCCTTCGAGGACAGGATTACAGAGGTGGTGAATGAGGGAAGAGTGACTGGCATCACCTACCTGGACTTCTGCAAAGCATTTCACATCCTGGTCTCTAAACTGGAGAGATGTGGATTTGATGGGTGGACCAGTCAGTGGATAAGGAATTGGCTGGATGGTCACTCTCAGACTTGTGGTCAACAGCTCAATGTCCAAGTGGAGATTAATGACAAGTGGTGTTCTTCAGGGGTCAGTATTGGGACCGGCATTGTTTTTTACCATCTTTTTCAGTGACATGGACAGTGGGATCGAGTCTACCCTCAGCAAGTTTACCAACAACATCAAGCTGTTTGCTGTGGTCAACACACTGGAGTGAAGGGATGCCATCCAGAGGGACCTTGACAGGTTTGAGAGGTGGATCTCTGCGAACCTCATGATGTTCAAAAAAACCATGTGCAAGGTCCCGCACCTGAGTTGGGGCAATCCCTAGCACAAATACTTGCTAGATGGAAAATGGATTGAGAGCAGCCCTGAGGAGAAGGATATGGAGGTGTTAATGGATAAGGAGCTTGACATGAGCCATCAATGTTTGCTTCCAGCCCAGAAAGCCAATTGTATCCTAGGCTGCATCAAAAGAAGTGTAGCCTGTAAGTTGAAGGAGGTGATTATCCCCCTCTACTCCATTCTGGTGAGACCCTACCTGGAGTACTACTTTCAGATCTTGGACCCTGAACATAAGAAGGACATGGATCAACTAGAGCAAGTCCAGAGGAGGGCCACAAAGGTGATCATAGGGATGGAACATCTCTCCTAGGACAACAGGCTGAGAGAGTTGGGGTTGTTCAACATGGAGAAGAGAAGGCTTCAGGGAGACCTTATAGCATTCTTCCAGTACCTAAAGAGGGCCTACAAGCAAGCCAGAGAGGGACTTTTCACAAGAGCATGGAGTGATAGGACAAGGGGGAATGGCTTTAAACTGAAAGGAGGTAGGTTTAGATTGGATATTAGAAAGAAATTCTTTACTTTGAGAGTGGTGAGACACCAGAGCAGGTTGCCCAGAGAAGTTGTGGATGCCCCATCCCTGGAAGTGTTCAAGGCCAGGTTGGATGTGAAGGTGTCTCTGCTCATGGCAGGGGGGTTGGAACTAGATGATCTTAAAGGTTCCTTCCAACCCAAATCATTCTATGATTTTAATGTATATGTTAAACATTAATGTATTAAAATATTTTTATTTGCTCTCAAATGTTTTAAGTCATTAAGACATAGTAATACTTACAACATCATGTATTTACTAATAAATATTTTTGTAAAGAAACTCCAACCCAAATCATTCTATGATTTTAATGTATATGTTAAACATTAATGTATTAAAATATTTTTATTTGCTCTCAAATGTTTTAAGTCATTAAGACATAGTAATACTTACAACATCATGTATTTACTAATAAATATTTTTGTAAAGAAACTGTACAAGCTATTTGGAATTTTATAAGTCTTCTGCACAGTTGATTTGTTGCCTTAGTGTAAGATAAGGTTTATGTCTACCTTATTCTGTGAGAATTTATTTCTCCCTTTAATACCTGGGGGGGGGGGGGGGGGGGAAAAAAAAAAAA